GCGCCGGCCGGGGCAGCGGCCCCCGCTCCCCGAGGGGGCGGCGGCGGCTCCGGGGCAGCGGCGCGGAGCGTGGCCCGTTGCTGCCATCTCGTGGGCTGAGCACCGAGGGACAAGGCGGCCCGCCGGCCCGCACCCCCCCGCGGCACCGGCAGCCTCGGTAGGGACGGGACCCCCGCCCGCGTTCCCTGCCCCGGGGCACCCGCTGCGGGCTGGGGGCTTTCGGCGGCTGGGGACTCTAATGGAGAGGGGGGGTCCCTGTGCAGCACAGCCGGGCAATTTCCAGCCGAGATGGAAGGGATGCAACCATGTGCAGGGGGCCCTGCTGGAAGCGGGGGGTGCCCCTGAAGCTCCCATGGAACACCCACGATGACCCTCCTCAAAAATCTGAGCGTGAGGAAGGGGGCCCTGCTGGGAAGGTCTCATTGGTCCAAGTATTGTGTTGGAGGGAAGGCCCCTTGGTCCCGGAAGCATCATCCCACAGGGAAGGTCTCCTCACCCACTGGGGCATCATCCTTGAGGGAGGAGGCCCCTTGCCCAGCCAAGTGTCACCCTAGAGAGCAACTCCCTCTGCTCCCCTGAGCACCATCCGTGGGGAAGGTCCCCTTGCGTGGCCGCGTGGGGAAGGTGCCCTTGGCCCTCTGCACATCGCCCGCGGCTGCTGCGGGAGACACAGGCCCTGCTGCCCGGCTCAGCTGTCCACGCTGCGGCCGCCTGGGCTGGCAGCGGGAACACAAGGTGCTGATGCTGCTCCTGCCTTCCCTGTTTCCCTCCAGCATCTCCGCAGCAGCCGGGCCGGGACATCGGGACGCAGCCTCCCTCCTCGCCTGCACTGCAGCCTCCCTGCCTGTAGCTGCCGGGATCAGGGGGCGGAGAGGCTCCGTGGGACACGCTGGACACAGCACAGCACCCATCGGAGCTGCCACCACCCCGGCCTGCGCCCAGGGCTGGACGTCGTCCTGTGGCCGTTCCCTGCTGGTGCCCGCTGCTATCCGAGCAGGGCCCACCGTGGGCACTGTCCCTGCTTCTCCTTGGTGTTCACTGGCGCTGAGGGTACCTGTCCCCCAGCCCAGAGACGAACAAAAAACCACGGGCTCCCTGTAGTGGCTCATTCGTGTCATGAGTTTCACAGTCTCAGGCTGGCAAACCTGGAGGATGGAGAAGGATGTGAGTCCAGACCCTGCCAGGGTAGCTGGTCCCAAATGGTGCCATTCTGGAGACAAGGAGCATCCGATGCCCTTGGATGCTGCCAGGATGACGGCCCCATGCAGCTCCCTGGCACCGCAGGCTGGGAGATGCCCCCGGGCGAGAAGGGAACACGTGGGGCCAGCGGCATCAGTGGGGCCAGCGGCATCAGTGGGGCCGCGGCAGCGGCAGCAAAACGAGGTGCGAGCTGCCACCAGGGGCTCCCGGCTGCGCCGCGGCTCCGCTGGCCGGCGCGCCGTAACCGGAGGCATGTGTGTGGGCTCCCGGGAGCGGCGGCGCTGGGAAGCGGGGCCCTGCCGAGCCCCGTGCGCCGCATCCTGTCCAAGAGCCCCGGTCCCACGTGGAGCCAGGCATGCGAGCGCAATCCAAACCACAGCTGGATGCGAACCGGCTCCCCCGGCATCTGCGCTAATGTGCTGCGCCGTGATGGATCGTGGGGAGGGGGCACAGGCGGGACACGCTCCAGCTCAGACCTCCCAAAAGAGCCAATGACTTCAGCAGAGCTGTTTCCAATCTGCTCACCACATTGAGGCGAAAATGCCCCTTCCCTGCGCCCTCCCGTTTGCTGGCGCTGGCTCTGCCTGCGGCTCCAGCACCACGGTCACAACCTCCCGCTGTCCCGCAGCCCCTGGATCCCTGGCTGGCACCTGAGCACGTGGGTGCCCAGGGTACAGCAGCAGGTTTGGGGACCTTGAAGGATGTTGGGCAACCGGAGCTTTCCCCTGGTGCAGGAGGTGGTCACGGCACCGGCTCCAACTTTGCCCAGCTGGATGGAATTGCTCTTCCCTGGCAGCAGCAGGGATTGCCCCTGGGCAACCAGAGCACCACCCCGGGGTCCTAGCATGTCCAGAAGGGAAAGCAGGAAACCTCCAAAGAGGAGCAGGAGGAGGGATATCCCAAGCCAAGCTATGGCACTGAGCCCACTTCCACGTGCCCCAGTCTCAGCTCCTCTCCCTGAAGACACCGTCCGGGTCCTCTGCTCCCAGGAGAGCTGGGAAAAGCTGCAGGAGAAGGTGGAAAAGCTGCAGGAGAAGGTGGAAAAGCTGCAGGAGAAGGGGGAAAAGCTGCAAGTTTTCCCCTTGCCGCCCCTTGGGCTCCCTGTGCTGCCCCGCGGCCACGGCGTCACTCAGCAGGTCGCGGGGCAGCCGCGGGGACGCAGCTGCCTCCCAGCCCTCCCTGCCTTGATTTATGCAGCGCAGCCCCATAAATTACCGGGACGGAGCCCGCGGGAGCCATCGCTCACGGCAACGTCCAGAGCTCGCTGCCAGAACCTGAAACGTTTCCAGCCGTTAATTGAACAGGAAAAAAGGGGGAAATTAGTGCCCGGGGAGCTGCGATTAAACAGCCTCTCTGTAACGAGGCTCGTGCTTGCCCTGCTCGCGGCGTCCGACGGGCACGAGCCGTGACACAGCCTGGGACGGCCCCGCAGGGCCCCGGGGCTGCCCGGCAGGCGGGGGGTGGCTGAGCCCGGCCATGCCGCGGGTGTCACCATATGGGGCAGCCCCCAACATGGGGGGTTTGGAGTGACCTGTCCCATGCCTGCGGAGAGCTGGAGGGTGCCAGATCCAATCTCCAGACGGGATGGAGCCGGGGGACCCAAGCAGAGCAAGGAAGCAGGGAGCAAGGTCGGGGCTGATTGTCATACACATGTGTCACGAGTTTGGCTGGAGCTCAGCAGCTGGGCCCTGACACCCACCCCTCCCCAGGACCCCCAACCTGGCGCTGCAGTGATGAAGACGCTGCTGGTGGCCAAGCCCCTCTCCGGGGCCCGGCGGTGGTTCTCAGCGTGCACCAAGACCCCATGGGGCTGGCGGCGCGTAGCCAGGCGGAGCGGGATCGTGCGGTGCGTGGTGGGTTTGGATCCCACTCCCCAGCTCCGGGCTGCTTCCCGGCAGGTCCTGGCCAGGCCACGCGCGGGTGTGCGGCCTGGCAGGGCCGCCTGGAGCGAGAGCCCGGCCGTGAGAAAGGAGAAGCGAAAGTGCGAAGCGAGAGGCAGCCCCGGCTCCAGGTCCCGCCGCGGGCCCTGCCGCCCTTTCGGAGTCGGGAGGAGGGACGGGGGGGGAATGAGGTGGGGGGGAAGCGGGAAGCTGCCTCCCAAGCCCCTCTGTGCAGTCCCCCGGCTGCTCGGTACTGTCACCCATGGGTGCAGAGCTGCAGTCTCCTGAGTCCTCCAATTAGGGATGGTGCCCCCCCCCCCGACTCCTACCACATGCACCCATTTGGGACCCCCATGGGTAGCCCACCCCACATCTACATGGAGGGGAGGGGGGGGTCACATCAACCGCAAATCCCACGGTCCCCTCCGTCCGCGAGGGCAGCCCCGACGGGACGGGAAACAGGCCCCGGGGTCGCTCCCTCCGAAGCGACGCGGACGGAACCGCGGCCACGCGCGTCCCGTCGGGGCTCCGCGCACCTGCGCGGGGGGGAGGAGCCGCGGGCCCCGACGGGCGGCCCCGGGCGCCGCTAGATGGCGCCCCGCGAGCGGCACCGGCCCCGCGGCCACAGCGGCGGCTGCGGGACCCGCCGAGGGCGACAGCGGCGGCGTCGGGGCCCTCCGAGGTAGGTGCCACCGGGCAGCCGTCTCCATCCCCACCGGGGCATCCTGCGGGAAGCGAAGGGGCCCGTCGGGGCTGGGGGGGCGCAATGGGGGGCGCATTGGCCCGGACCCAGCGAGAGGCGCCGGGAGCCCCGAAGGGGCTCCCGGCGCCTCTCGCTGGGTCCGGGCCAATGTCCCCCCTGACCCCACAAGCGCCCGCCGCTCCGGGACCCCCGAGGGCGCGGCGGGGCCGGGCGGGAGGAGGCGCCCCCGCTCCTCCCGCGGCCGCCGGGGCGGAGGGAAAGGGGGGGGCCCGGCCCGTCGGTGCCCCGCCCGGGGAGGGGAGGAGGAAACCTCCCGCCGTCCCTTTAACAGCCAGCGGGCGCTGCTCGGAGTTCAGGCCGGGGTCAGGGGGAGTTCGCAGCCCGGGCTTCACCTCCGCGCTGGCGGCGCCGGGAGCCCCGAGGAGGAGCCGCCGTGGCCGCCGCCGCCGCCCGCTCCGAGCCCGGCCGGCACCGCGGCAGCCGCGGGACATGGAGCGGCGGCGGCCCGAGGGG